ACAAACAAACTCTTCTGGCGCGTAATGCGCGTGAACCATTTTTGGATAGAATTGTCACTAGTGATGAAAAATGGATTCTCAATGCGAATATTAAACGCGAAAAACAATGGATCAGTCCTAGACAAAATCCTATTCCAGTCCCAAAACCTGGACTCCATCCGCAGAAAGTGATGCTTTGCATTTGGTAGGACATCAAAGGAGTAATTCATTTCTAAATTCTCAATCCACAGCGAACTGTCAATGCAGAGACTTATAGTCAGCAACGGGAACGTTTAAATCACTTGTCAATCGGAAAGGTGTTCTTCTCCACGACAATGCACGTCCAGATGTGGCACGTTTGACGCATCACAAGATTATGGAGTTGGGTAGGGAAATTCTCCCTCACCCACCATATCCTCCAGATATAGCACCATTAGATTACCATCTTTTTCGTTCGCTGCAACACCATCTTAATGGGAAAACGTATGTAAATGTGGAAGGTGTTAAAGAGGACATCAACATGTTTAAAATATAATCTTCAACAAACAATTATACAACTGTTTACGTAAATCCGAGCTTTCAAATAACTGTGAATAACCGTTGAGTATGTTTTGGCCTAACTATAAGCCGATAGTGTTGAATTTCGTTTAAACTAACCTTATTCGCAGACTAACGTTCTGTATAACCCATTACCAAGATTGAAGTTGACCAGTGTTATATTACATCTTGAAAAACGTACACATTTTTCATGTACATTCTGGCAAAAATAGCTGTTCCGTTTGATTGTGAGGTTCAAATATAAAAATAAATTGAAGCTGTCTAAATGTTTTAGAGCATAAATTATATAAATAAAATATAATAAGATCAAATATGTGTAAAATAATCTTTCGAAACGTGTTCAAGGTTAAAATATTAAAAGATTAAAGACATTTTTCAGCTAAAAACAACTCAATTTTTTTAAGTATTAAATTAACACAACTTTATATCAGACTTTTAACTTCATTAATGTCTGGCAAAGCATTCGGGAAATATCTATTTATCTATCTGTTTTTCTGTCTGTCTGTCTATTATCTATCTGTCTTTCTGTCTATTTATCTATCTGTCTATTTATCTATCTGTCTTTTTGTCTGTCTGTCTATTTATCTATCTATCTTTCTATCTGTATGTCTATTTATCTATCTGTATTTCTGTCTGTCTATTTATCTATCTATCTTTCTAATTATCTATCTATACACAAGCTATTACCATTTAAGTACCTTGCTTGTACATATTTTTAATTCATGTCTCAATGCTGTATCACATAAACAGGCCCTAAACTTTGAAAAATACGTTTGATGATAAGTTAAACTTACCTACGAAAAGAAAAAGAATCTTCATCACGAATATATCTCTAGAAGAAAGAAATATCTTATTAGTATGAAACATTACTCTAAAATAAAAGTTATCAGAATCAGATACCACAGGATGAATCAAAATATCTCTACGAAAATATAAAAAATGTAGACGGTAACTGTTGAGAAAGCAAATATGTAGAGAATTATGGTCATCATTAAACCAATATTGTTATTAGTTGTTTTTAAACTCTCATAAGGTATCAAAAAACGTCGTGTAAGTAACTTATGATGATATATCTTAAAACAATTACTTTTTCTCACCCTTTATAAGTTTAGAGGATCCCACTAACTAATATGTATTAACCATACAAGACCAGTTTGCTACAGTGGGTTAAAAGAAGAATATTTTATTTGTAAGTTGTTTCAACTGCTTATGCGACCAGTATCAAATAAAATCCGACGAGTAAATATAAAGTTTTCGAATGACATGTAGTTGAATGACAGGAAATTATAGGTTACTTATGCAAGGAATTATTTCAATAAAAATATTTAATTTGTTTGCTTAGAACTCTCGTCAACATCTATATATATAAGAGAAGCTAGAAAATTGTTGTAAAAAATTACGAAAGATAATTAAAAGATGCTTAACAAGAATCATAAACTAGATCCAGGTTACTATAGTTACTGATAAAGCGAGAAAAACAAACAAACAATCTATTTACGAGAAAAGTCGGTGCTTTAAAAACAGGTTCGAAATTTGATTCAGGGTTTGTCCCGCTTTGTTGCTAAAATGTACCATTTGTGTGTGGGTGCGCTATAAGAGTGACCGTAAAATCCCACTATTCGGCCAGATAAGAGTACGCCAAAAATTGGCGATAGTGCTGTTGTTTAGCTGCCTTTCCTATAGTATATCAGTTAGAAATTAGTAATGGCACTGTGTAAACGTTCTTCACAAATAAAAACGCTTGGGATTAGTTTATATATATTACATTACAACATTCTGCCCTATAGGAGTTTCTCAAACGTGATGAATATATCATGAAGCAAGTGAAAAAAAAGTAACGTTAATATTAAGTCTTATGATGTAGTATTTAAATAATTAGCAATATTATTGTGACGTATTACCTATATTGTAAAATGTTCTGTTCTTATATATTATTGCTTTCATAATATCATGATTAATGTTAATATTGATCATCTAATCTTCACTTATTTATTCAGAGCTACGTAACTGGGAATTTTATCAAACATCGTTATTCTATTCTGGGGTAATACTGTATTAATGTAGTAATGACGATAATCTTGAACTGGAATTATCTGAAGCGGTTAACACTGAGAATA